GATAGACCTGTCAGCATGGAGACATGCTGACTGCAGACAAGAATGCAGCTATGCTCCACCAACCACAGAGAACACACACACACTGCATAACATCTCAGTGGTTTATGCAAATTGAGCATTATCTCAAACACACACCCTCTCCAAGCCATGCAGCACGGCAGAGTGTCTCTGTGATGGTTTCAGGGCCAGATGAAAGATGCCATAAAGAGAACAGATGCCATTCAAGCACTATATACAACACTTGGGTTGGGACTTTTTCAAATAAACAACACCTGAGCAGTTATCAGCTAATGACGATCCTGCAGGAGATGTGGAGTGCAGCCAGACAACAGCAACATGTAGATGCAAAATGAAGATATCCTGAGAATGAAATTCTCTTCTCTCCCCGTTCCCTGCCAGTCCTTCACAAGTGCTGTCAAGCTTAGCAAATGTCAGAGGGGAATTTAGGAGGGTAATCGGAGTGCATGTCGTGTCAGGAAAGAATGTGGGAAACAATTTCTTTTCAAATCACTTACTAGTTTGTTCAAGAGGCGAGAATGAAGAAAGGTGTTAAAGTGCCAAGCAGGAGAGGTGCCAAGAGCTGCCAGTTTGTGTTTAGAAATATACATCTGAGCTTTGGCATTCCATACATACTTCTGACAGACTTTAGAAAAGTTTTTCTGGCTTATGTGGGGTTGATATGGTAAGTGGGAAGCTAAAGTGCTCCAGGATATTCAACGTGTAGAAGCTGTGTTTGAGAACATCACTGATGCTATTTAGGTGAAAACCAAAGTTAAAAGTTCTGGTTCCATGTGGTACCTGCTCATACGTAGGTTCACTATGTGGCATCTTCATTACATGTTAGCAGACTGAGTTGTTTTTGTCCAGAGCAGGTTTTCAGGTTTAGGACTGATTGTTGAGCAGTGTCGGGCTGGGGCCTTCAGTTATATAATTGCATAAAAAAAAACTATTTGCATGAGATTGCCAAGCATATGGCATTCCTATCTTGAGTTTCCTGACTAAAAAAGAGCTGACGGAGGTTGTTGTTGAGGACCTGGTTAGTAAGGACGTTTTTAAGTTTCAGTGTCTGCAGAATTCTCTAGCTTGGTAGCTTTGGCTGTGGCAGCAGTATCCTCAGGTGAAGGTCTCTTCATTCACTTAACAGAAGCTTTTCAATCTTACACCCAGAGTGCAGAGAAGTGACAGAACAAGAGGCAGCTGGACCACCACAGGTGTAGGCATTTTGTCTGGAGTCATCTTTTGGTTTGAATTTGGACATCTAGTTAAAAATATGTTTAGTGCGCCTTCAGAAAGAGGAGAGAATGTGAATGTTTCAGCTCCACAGGGACTTGGAGTTAAAGAAATCTGAGACAGAGCCACAGTTACAGAGCTGGAGTTCAGAAAACAGCAGTAGAAGCTGCAGTCAGGTTCAGTTTGTCCTTGTACTCGTACACAGGTGTCCTCAGGTTCTACTGTTACATTTGACGCAAGTAAAAAATATTCCTATGATTGTTGTTTTCCGTGGCTCTGAGGTGGAGTTTGGTGGTCTGAGTGCATTGCTGCTGCTTTACACTGACCACAGGGCAATACTTCTGTGATGTGACTAAACTGGTGAACCTCAGGAGGCTTTCCCTCTTTCTGTTGAAGAGGCTTGTATATTAAACATTTTGCGTTGCTTTTCAGATACTGACTTTGCTTGGAAGAAAGGGGTCTTCTTTGCCAGATGGTGTTTGGCATTGGAAGTGTAGGAGCCTGGTCTCCCTGAGCTCATGTTGGTGGAGGAGTTTGAAAACCTTCTTCGTCTTCGTCTGAGTTTGCCTCAGTGTATACTGGTTTACTTAAATGATTGGATTCTTTCCAGAAAGCTGATGATACACAGCTTACATTTTCTGCTGTTTCCCTATCAGTTCCTGAGGTGGAATAAACATGTTTCTTTGGCTTTAAGCCTGGGTACTTACTTGCTGAGTGTGAAGTGTTTCTGCAGAAACAGCAGGTGACAGCACCAAAGCAGAAGGGGATGAAGTTAATTAAATCTGTGTCCCCCACTGACCAGTCAGCTGCTACTAAAGTATCTGATGTCTGCTTTAAGCAGCTCATCTTCAAGGGATCGGTGTGTCTGTCAGGAAAGGCTGAGGACCAGTTTGCAGTCCTTCATCCTTTACAGTGTTATATTGTTAGTAGTTGAGTCTGTCCAGGATGTGAGCACCATTGTGAGAGATACTGGAAGTAGTTCTGTTTTCATAGCAGTGTTTTCATGTAGAGTCTAAACTAACAACTGGTTTCTCCCCAGTGGCTGTGTATCCTTGTCTTCCTATTGATGGTATTGACTTTATCATTGAGAAACAACATAGCTAGTAGCAAAGTGTGTCCTTCCCCTAAGGTTATTGATGTGCCTCCTCCTGAGTGTGACTCCAGTGACTTGGGTAAGAGACAACCAGATATGTTTGCACTCAGTGTTCTGATTTGGGCTCAGGCCCTGGGTGTTGACCTGTGTGACTTATGTTTGCTCCTTCCTGTCTGAGGGTAGGTCGCCACCTGTAGGTATATTAGAGAACTGCACTAAAAAGGAGCTTGTAGCGAGTCAGTCAGTGCTGCTGCAGTGTCACTGCCACCGACCTGCAACATGCTCATCAGCTCCAAGAACAATATTCTATCTACAGCCAGTGTCCACTGATGAAGAAGAAGCATATTGTATAGTTACAGACAATAGTGCATCAGACACTCAACATGTCAGCACCAAGTGCATGACAGAGAATTAAAGCAAAAATATTTGGAGAAAAGATATAATCACTAGACCCACAGAATCAGTGGTTAGAATTGAGTAGCTTTTAATAGATTTTTCAGTTCGGTCTTAAAGCCTCTGTTTGACCAGCATGTGCTTATATTGTCTGGTCGGATGTTCTCAGGAGTTTTAGAGAAAATACTTATTGCAAGTGTAATTTACTTTTAGATTTTTTTCGTCTGGGTCCTCACAGTCAACGTCTTATATTTATGCTTATTTGAACTGGTACCTGTGACCATGCTCTATAAAAATTAACTTAATGTACCTTGACAGTATTGTCTTTTGTAACCTTCGGTGAATTGACTCACCTTTCTGCAGTGATGTACAGGTGTATTCTGGGAGCACATTACATCACTCTTGGGTGTGTCTACAGCTACATTAACCAGTGATTCACAAACTGGCTCAAGGAATATCATAAAGCGTGAGGCCATGCAATGGTTGTACTTGAAACTAGTGCAATTTGGCACTTAATGAAAACTAACACAACTTCAAAAGTGAGGTGTAACGTCCATCCATCCATTATCTATACATCGCTTAATCCTCACTAGGGTGGTGGGGGGCTGTTGTCTATCCCAGCCGACTCAGGGCGAAGGCAGGGGCAGGTAACCAGACTATCACAGTATAGACGGTAGTATATTGGTTTAGTTTGTGTAAAAAAAAAACAAAATAAAAACTTTAAACAATTATGGACTGACACAAGCTTGAAATGAAGATGGAATACTCCTCCTCCCAAACAGATCTGTGGACAAACAGAAGGAAGCTGAAAACCACCATGTAAGATATTCAAATATTTGTTCTTAGACATGATAAGGTGGGGTCCAACCCAGACAGGTGCTTCTCAGTCACAGAACCACAAACATAGACATGAACAGCAAATTAGAACACTGTCAATATTGAAGAAGCCCTCAAAATTTCACTAATCATGCTTTCAGAGAAGCTCATGTGTTATGAAGCTGAATCCAGCTGCCCCGGGTTCCCCTGCCCATATCAATGTCCACCTGAACTCATAATGCACTTGAACACACCAGTTTCCCATGGAGTGCTGCATGTTCAGCTGTCTATCACTACAACATTTCCTCTTGTGGGCCCCTGCAGGACGACATCACTAAAACCGGTCCAATCATTAGTCAGGCATCCCTTTACCTGCTGGTTCATGTTTACAACTCTCAGTCATTTGTAAAAAGTCAGTGTCAAACAGACCGAAAAGGTAAAGCACCCATCATGATGGATGATAAACTGATTCACTGCTGTCAGAGGGCTTTTTCAAAATCTAACACCCCAAAAGTTGTGTTAATGACTGGTGGCTGAGCTGTGCAGAATCAGTGACTAGTTTCATTTTCAGTAACAAAGTCATTAGTTACAACTTACAAATTCTTGAAGCAGGTTTCCTCATTAGGAAGGTACTATTTTAGGTATCGCCAACATCATTACCACACTTTAACTAAGCAATTTCATTACCTTACCAAACCTAAATTGCTGACATTAAGGCTCATATAAATTCCTTTTCCAGCAGTCCAATGTTGACGAACAACCAGTTTTGTCATTTAAGTAAAAGACTTGCAGTTTCTGTTCTCTCAGCCTCTTTCTCTCTCTGTCACAACTCAGACACTCATATTTCCATCATTTCAGTGGACGTCACACTGACTTACATTCATTTCCAGCAGACTTACTTTATCAATAGCCAGTACTTGCTCAATTCTTTTTTATCCTTGATTTACCTTAACCTTTCATAAAGTCTTTGCATTAAAGTGAATTATAATTATTGTTCTGTATTGTTATTAATAGTATAGTGTTAATAGTGCTATTAATTATTTACAGCAATACTTGTTTTCTTTATAAAAGGCAAGCAAGTCATTTTATACACTAAAGCAAACACTTTATTTTATTTAATCACTTTTTTTTATTGTGTATATGTTGTGTAATTGTTAACAGTGTGAGAAATGTATGCGTTGTTTTTAACTTCTTTTTACAAAATAGAGAAAATGCGTACCTATATATAGCATGTACTACAAGGTATGAGTATGAACACATTTGTACAAATGGGTTGTGAATCTATGGAGCTCTGTTGGTGGCTTGTGGATGCTTTTGTGTCAAAGTAACACAAGCGTTGCTGTTGTGCTGACCTGTGTGAGCTATTATCGAAAAACTAACATGACAACCAGATCATACTGAAAGATTTTACCTTTCACAAAGTTCTGAATGTGAAATATGCCTGAATAACAGAATACTAAACTTTAAATGGAAGCCACATAACCAAAAAGAATTTATTGTCACAAGCACGATTTGTTACACAAAAGTAATGGGTCACATTTACACAATTTATACAGGTCTAGAACTCAATGTACAATTAATCATCTAACTAAATACCGATAGTTAAATACGTACTCACACTGCACACAATATCGTTAAAACCTACACAAAAATGTACTGTGTGAAATTAACACGAGTTGACATAAAAATCACATTATTTACAAAAAACATCAATTTGAGATCTTTAGCAAAAGGACTCTAATGTCTGAAGGTTCTCTCATCTGTCAGAGACATTATACAATCTATCATGTAAAAGCTCCCCAACTAGAAAGTATTATTCAGTCTCTTAATTGTTGAAAAGATTATAAAGTAATAAAGTCAAGTAGCGAGAGCTGAAGAACACCAAATACACTAGTAAATACTGCGCTTTGCTTGGACGGTATGGCGGTTCTTCCCTTTTAAAGCAGGCTGGTGTGATTAGCAGTTAGCTTCATGAAGTGCACTTTAAGCCTTAGCTTAGCAACTGTCTGCAATGACTTTTTTTGGAAAAAAAAAAAAAAAAAAGTTGTTTCATTTATACATAGAATCCTTCTATACTCGCATAAAGTTATTTTCTAGAGTTCAGGACATCACTACATATAGGTTACACAATAAGGTGGATGGAGAGAGATATGACGGCAGCAGGTGGAGATGAGCAGCTTCTCCTCTCCCTCTACTGTTTAGCAGTCGGTGATGGTGTGCAAAAAGCGGCACCAGACAGATGGAGGTGTTAATCTTCAACACTTACATATATCTGACTCTGTGTTTATGCGAACAGGTAGTGTTGGTAACTCTTGTAAATGTACATCAATAATGTTGTTAATTGATGCTCTCTGCAGTCAGTCCAGGTGTGAAGCAGAGAAGGACCTACTGGTCTGTGATCATACTGTTCATGCTGCACTATCAGGAAAGAGCCGCACCGTCTGAATAAAGACCTCGACCTAAACTCTAAAAGTAGAACTATGCATACGGTCTTTGAGTGTGCTGCGTGTCTACTGTGTTCTGTGTTTTGTCTCAGTTATGAATAGGTGCCAACATGACTGAACACAAACCATACTTGTTCGTGGAAAACATTTTCCTGATAACTAAAAGCATGTGTCACATTAAGTGTCAGATCATACGAGCTGTGACAGCCCTCACATGGACGCCATTAGCAGGTCAAATGTACCACCGAATGCATGTTATTTCCACACTGCTGTCTAAACTGTGTGTCCATGTATTAACCTCTGTCCTCACACTACAATATAATCCCGCTGGACAGTAAAAGGATTGTTAGTGCATCAGTTATTACAGCAACTGTTTGCTGAATGGGACTGTTGAGTCTGTGATGAGACCTGCAGCAGCATGTGAGTGCATTCAGCTCTGTAGGGCTGTGTCCAAAGTGTAGAGGTACACATATTCAATCAGAAAGATCTGAAAAAACAAACAAACAAAACAATCCAAATAATGCACAGAGCAAGCCAGTGTTTCCGAAAGCTCAGGCCAGCTGCAAGAGGAGTCATATTATTTGTTCAATTGATAAGTTATGATTAATTAACATGGTTTCACTTTCTCTGGTTACAGTTAAACTAAATATGAAGGTATTGTGCAGTAAAACTGCAGCATGTTTCAACTGTCCAAAGACATTACGGAGCTAAATTAATCGCATGAAAAGGAACTGACACTAAAAGTGTGACATGGAGGCTGGACTGCATTATGGCAGTAATTACTGTTGGGAAATTAATGCAAATGTAAATTCATGATATAATCACCCTGCTTCTTACAATGTGACAAAGGTTCCACTTCTGTTGTTGAAAGCAGTTTCTGTGGTTCAGTTCTGGCTCAGATGTACTTGTTCCATCCTGAAAACAAGCCCCGAGAAAACAAACCAACTCCAAACCGCAGCAGATGTGGGACCATTCAGCTGTACCTCTCTGGCTGCTGCATTTGCACATTTGGCACAGACATAGGTTTGGTGATCTGCATGGATGCTGGCAGACATAAATATGTGAAAACTGTGGATGTAGACTTCTTGAGGAAAACATTTGAAAAGTTTTATCAAATCATAAAGAGAGAAATCTAAAATGATAATACTGACCCTCGTCTATACATATACTGACAGATAATGTAATAATCACCAGGCCAGTCTTGCTGATGCTGACTGCAGAGAGCAGTCTCAGTGACCTAAATGTCACAGATTGCATCATTTGTCCAGACAGCTTCAAACAATGCCCATGATGATGACAGACATAACAGCTGATCAAGGTTGGCTGACGGCGGTCCTTCCATATGACAGTAGTGTTCGTCTTTGCAGCGATGAGGTACGTGTATGTTCACAGATACATAGTGCAGGCCGTGGAGCCCAAACATTAGTGCACTGTGTGCTTGTATGTGTGTCAATGATAAGTTCACCCAGACATTCACCGTGCTGCACATGGATGTGTGTTGGTGATCCAGCTATACATAAAATGAGACAGAACATGAGAGATAAATGCAAACATCAGTCCAGTTTTGAAAGGAAGAATGATGGAGAGGGGAAGGGATTACTCAGAGAAGGGTGGGAACATGCCGAGGTCGGCAAAGTCCTCAATGTTATAGTTAGCTGTTCCCTGGGTGGGATCTCCAGCCATGGGTAACATGTCCTGCAGAGACAGAGAGGAGGGGTGGGGGGGTCAGAGGTCAGAGGTTGAATCATTTATCAGCTATCTGAGCAGACTGGTCACCTGTAAGATGCTCTGACACACAAACAGACCAGAAGCAGCAACGTCTTGACAGTGAATATGGTACCTGAAAGACTTCCGTCTGGCTGGGGTTGGGATGTGTGTGTTGTTCTCCGGCCTGCTGAGAGTGATGCTGGTTCTGCCACTGGGACCAGACCTCACTGGGACGACCCTGGAACTGGGCTCCACTTTGACTGCTTTCGCCCGACACATCTGGAAACATACCACCGTTCATGACAAGAGCTCGTCACAAACTGATTGCTGTTAATATCTTAAATCAAAGCAGCGCAGTGACTGACTGAGGACACATTTAATGTAGAATTTAAAGCATCAAATACCACCAGAACTTTTTTGACCTCATTTGATCTGATCCGATCTCCATATGAGCGTCTAATACAACACTGTTTTATGGACTGTTAACACGATCTGCTGCTCAGACACTGCTACTGCTGTCGTCTGTTGCAAATGACTACATTCTTTATTATGACTGGACTTCATCACTTTCTACATGAAACCTTTTTCATGTATTATAAATAATGAAATAAGTGAGATAATCTCAGTTATTTGTGACACTTACAAAAACTGATTATTTGATCTATCTGGGGTTGACAATAATCTTAGCGTAGCCCTAATAGCATCAGAATTAGCAGCAGAGGCAGTTATACAGTGGGTTTTAATGGGACAGCCGTTCTACAATTATCATAATTTCCACAGAAGCATTTTTCCTTAACCAAATGGAAATAAAGGCACTTTACTGTAACCCTGCTGTACAATATGAGGGGAATGAGTGTCTCTGTAGGCACAGACATAGGCTGCATTACACATTTCCTTCTGTCTGCTGTCTGCAGTGGTCAGCCCACAGTCCAACACATCATCAGCAGGGTAAAACCAGCCTGTCTCACGAAGCTCGAAACCCAGCTCATGTTTCTTGTTAATGTGTAGTACTTGGTAAATTCTGCTTCATACAGTAAATCTGGTTGTGCTGTAGCTGCAGAATGTGTACAACAAGTTCAATGACATCAGTGTCACTGGTTCATTTTAAGAATGCCAAGAGAGGTGAATCATTTTTATAGGCACTGTAGCTCTTACTAATGTTGAAGGGTTAGTGTTAACGTTAGCCTCTGACAGGGGGTTCCTGAACAAGACAGATGAAACATGCAAATAAATAACTGAATTTCAACACTTTTTTTGTAAATTGTATATTGTGTCAGAAAATACTTGGACATACATTTTTTTTATTGATAGACAAACCAGACAAGCCCTGTTTTTTTTTATTTTATTTTAGAGATAAAAGCACACAGATTAAGAAAACACTACCACACCTTATCAAAGGGGCTTAGTGGTAATTAGCATTATTGTTGAATGTGAAATCTTGGCATGATGATACAATCGTATGACTGCTGTCATTTTAAATGATTGATTCTAAGTCAGTTAGAATTTGGGGCCAACTGAAAGTTTTGTTATACCGATCCAAAGATTTGTATAATTTAATGTATAACAATAGAATTTATTTGATTACTTCAAATCACATTTTTGATTCACGTGTCGTACTGTGATATACAATCAAATGTATATTTATTAACATAGTGGTTTCAGGGCTATTGCCAATACAGAGGGAGAGAGAGAGAAACAGAGACATCCACACCAAAAATCAGTGTCCTACACCCCAAACCACACAGGTGGGATGTTACAATAGGTTACCCAGTATTAAACAGGAGTGAAAGATGGCAGAGAGGAGCTCACCAAAAGCTGTGCTGCGGTTTGTCAGTCCTGAGTAGGCGTTGCCACTGGGAGAAGAAGTGGCTGGGGAAGACAAGGGACTGTAGGAGGCCGGGTCAGTCTGGTAGCTGTGGCCAGAACCAATACCAAATGGACTTGACTGGGCTTTGCTGGACTGGAGAACACAGAGAGGAAAATTATGCAGCAAATCTGTGTGTAAGAAATGTAGAAAATGTGTGTGTAACAGTACAGGCAGCACAAAGTTCAGTAGAACATGAAATACTATCTCTGCTTTCCATGAACATGAAATGTCTAAAAACTCTATTTTCAAGTTGAACGTTTTCTCCAATTCCAGTAAATAAGTGAATGTCCATTCATCCAACATATTATTTCCATGAGTTTTAAGGGAAACTACAACCAAACTTATTTCATCAAGGGAAGACAGTAAACATGTAAAAAAGAAATCAACATACTTCATCAATATAAAACTAGAACAGATACAAAGATTAAACATCCTGCAGTTATTTTAATTCTAAATGCTGAAAAGACATTTGGCTTGCTAAGCCAGCCTTTTCCTTTCACATCCTTGAACCCTTTTGGGTTTGGTACCCTGGATGAAGATGCTATGTGCCACGACCTCAGCATCTGACAAATGCTGAACACAAGTACAAGACGACAATTCCCATCATCATCAGTACTTTAAGCACTTTCCATAAAAGCTCAGCCATGTGACACAACAACAGCATGTCACATTGGGTCATTTTGACTGTGATGCTGAAGTTAAGACACCCAATAACCACAAAACTCTGCGAATAAATACCTCAAAATCCATGTCTTAACAAACCAAAAAAAAATTTTTCAAACTCAATTTTAACCCATTGCTACATGTCATAAAAAAAGATCTGGATAGATGAAATCTATCCGACCCCCCTAATTTGGTTGCATTGATGCCATCAAAATGAAAATTCTACTGAAATCTATTCACTGTATTTTTGCAGTGACCCATCCTACCCCAGGTTGCTTCACGTTTCCATATTTTATTGGAAAGGTAAAAGGCCAGAGATAAACAGAACTTCACCCAAAAAGCCAACAATAAGTCTGATTCAGTTCACCCAATTTTTACCACTACTTCCTCTCCCTTTCAGTGCATCCAGCACTGGACAAACAACTCCAGTTCTGCCTTAATATTAATGTTAATATTAATTAGACCATCATTCGCTGACAAGTCATGTAAGACTCATACATGCTTCAAATTTAACTCCATTAACACTATTCTCACTGTCCAGTGGAAAGCAAATGACTTGCTTACCCTCAAACTACCGCCTTCTGCTCTCACTCCTATTTGACATGACTCTGTTTAAAATCAATAAAGAACTTATCAGTCTTCTTGCATGGAAATGAGGTGGACTAACCTGCCAGGGGCACCTTTTCAGCTGCAGCACTTTCGTGACCTTTGACATTCTTAAACAATACAACTCACACCAACGCTGTCTTTACCAGTATGTACAACTGAAAGCAACCATAAAAAAGGAAATCCATAGTTTCTACAACATCATTAGTCCGTTGTTACTGACACAGTCTTTTAATACCCAAAAAATACTATCACAGATTTACAAACTCTTCTTACCATGATACATGATTCACTGCAATGTCTAACAGACAAACATCACTACTCACAAAATGTATCACATCGGCTTCACAGACAGAAATATCTTCAACCTCAGCATCCCCTCTAGATGATCTCACTTTGGGTCTACACCTCTATAGGGGAGTGAGGATCTTTCTCATTTACTATCCCACAACATTTTCACACTTTTATTTTAATCACATTAACTATGGCCAAGAAAACCATATCACTCAACTTGAAAGTCAGAACTAAATCTTCCGTAATCCACTGGCTCAGTCTGCCAACAGACCACACTAATCCAGAAATGCTCACATCAAGCCTAAAGGACAATCTGATCTCATTCCATAACACCTGGTTGTCTTTCCTGAAGTTTATCTAGAACTGATTCTCTCCATTTACTTAGACAATATAACAGACTTAGCCCAACAAACACTGCCAAACATGTAACTATACACCTATTCCAGGTTGACATAGTCATAGAGCCAATGAACCTCAAAGAGCAAAGCTTCCAGTCAGTAAGGGTAAGGTGACTGCATTTCTTCATGCAGTGTTCAGTCTGCACATGTTCATCATCATAACATCACATTTGGAATAGAATATGATAAAGATCCAAGTTAAAAAATATCTAAATTTCCCTTCAACTTCATGCAAGAAAAAGCAGTTCACCATGAGAACAGGAATTTTACAACAGCCGCAGTTCAAAAACAGCCAAAGGAATTAACTTCATTTTGATTTACGTTACTTACATTTGTTAATCAATTCATTTCATTACTATATATTTGGAGTCGCTGCTATTAGAGTCTGATGTGCCTTTACTTCTACAAAGCTGGCTGTAAACAAATGGAGGCTTGTTATAGTTCAAACACAGCCTGGTGATCTTGTTTAACAGTCAAAACTCTGCTAAAACTACTTAATTGGATTACATGTGCACCAGTGTCCTGGTGATGAGTTTTCATCATAGTTGGGATACAGCATTTACATGGACAGAGAAAATATTTGTTATGCAATATTCATATCCCCACATACATCATGACTGCCATGATGGAGTTCTGTGACCACAGGCGGAAAGAACATTTCTGTATGAGAAGGGCACCCTCTTAGCTTTCTGTACGAGACAGTTGAACTATTCATGAGAGCAGAGGAAACAACAGTGTGAGCACCAGTTCGGTTAACGATGAGAGTGGACATTCTGTTGCACAAACTGGGGGGCTTTGGGGAATGTTGTTGGTTACTCGCTTCAGTTTAAGGCACAGAAGTGAAGTCTAAAAAGTTCTATGTATGTTCTGTCTCAGTTTGCCAACAGAGGCTATGAGGCAGTTCATATAAACCCATAAGTAACAGAGAGTCATCTAGATTTTGTTTCTGTTTCTGTTTTTGTTTAGTCTCTGCTTCTGTTTGTTACCTTTCTAAACTTGCACCTGCACAGGTAGTTGGCAGTGGGCATGCAACAGTACACCGGTTTCTTTCTGAGCACTACAGCTAGCATAATAAAGTTTCTTAAAACTGAGATGAGTACTTATCAAGCTTTCTGGAATCAGGATATGATGTTTACATGCTTAAACACAAAAACAGGACACTAACTGAATCATAGCCGGGGTACTTGAGTCTACGTAAACACACTTACTGTTTTCGAGAACAATGTCAGCAAATTGGATTTTACAATATTGGGCAACTGCACATTGAGGAATTTATGCTATTCAGGTTTTTTCAGGGCACATGGAAATCAAGCATTGATGTTAGTTTATAATGTCGGCTATGTTTACAGTGGTGAAAACACTCAACCAGCTTTTCCACTCCTATCATCTGGCTCTAGTTATTATGCTACTTTCGAGGTTACTGAACAAAGAACTTAAAGAATTCAGTGTGGTGGAATGACCTGACAAGCGGTGCAGTGTGTGTGGAAGACAGATGAGCCTATGCTATCCTATCAGAAGCATATGCTGAGCACATTCCCTTAGCAGGATTGTACAACAGACACACAAACTATATGGCAAATATGACAGGTCCATCTGTTAACAGGCACCAGAGATTGGACATAAATTAGTTAGGTAAACTGATGAGGTAATGATTAGGTAATGAGCAAAGCACAGTTTTGCTGACCTTATTACTGATACATTTGTGTTACTTTTGCAATAAACAGCTGTGTGTGTGTGTGTGTGTGTGTGTGTGTGTGTGTGTGTGTGTGAGTGTGTTACCTGTCCAGAGAAGGGGGGCCGGTTGCCTGACCATGCCACTTGGCCTGGGTTAAGCTGTCTTGAGATTTGAGCTAGATTCTGATTAGATGAGCCAGATGGCTGGATGTCGTTCACACCAGGGACATGGATCACAGAAGAACTGCGCATGCACACACACACACA